TTAGTTCCGACAACCTTCCTAGAAGCTTTTGAAAATATTACGCTTGTCCCCAAAAAAGCCTATAAATTACATTTTGGTCCATGAGAACCATTATTTTTTTAGGGCAATTTTGGAACTTCTGATCACTTAAGTTTGGTAGCTAGTTGAATTCAAGTATATTCTTGATCTTTTATATCTAAAATTTGTGATGTTACTTAGGGACAAGATTTAACTTTTTGAATTTTTGAACTTAATTTTCACAAACTAATAAGTATTGAATCAATTTAATAATATTAAACACTTACCATAGTAGGAAAAGGTCTATCATGGTCATAAAATAGGGACATCATACTTTCACAAATCCTATCATGGTAGATCCTTTCTATTATGGTAGATAGAATTAAACAAAATAAATTAGCCTACCATAGTTATCAAAATAATAGTTACCTCAAATGAACTTAGTGGAATCCCATTTGAAAAATCAATATTTGAAATCCAAAAATTGTTTTACATTCATAAACAAGCATAGAAGCTTCTTAGGATGGCATAATTTCAAATGATATCCAATACAATCAATGACTCATAAAAGTGACTCTAGTACACCCATAAATTAAATACCGAACTTTGGTTAGATAGTCATACTTTCCAAACAACAAATTTTGATAATTAATATCAAAAATGGGTTTAAACAGCAATTTTCACAACTTAACAATATCATCCAACCAAAGTCTATTTCCAAAGATTTACATATTCACCACACATTCATATTTAGCGACATTTCAATAAACATGTAATAACTTATTGTTTAAGATTTTCAAATATTGATCATAGCATCAATGTCTTGAGTAAAATAGTTATAAGAGATACGTAGAATCCTCATAGCAATATATGTGCAGTTAATGAATAATAAAGTTTACATGCTCGATAAAAGTCATAATCATCATAAATCGACACAATATACATTACATCAGCCAAATTAGGAGGCAATACAAAAAGATCGTGTCTTGTACACCAATCTATGCCTTTGGTACTCCTTTAACTACAATTAGTTTTGTAAAAATGTTAACAATGAGGAATGAAATACAAAAGTCCTAATAACCAATACTAAAATGTCATAGTATTTGCAAAGCAATTAATCATGCGATTGTTAAGTATGGATGTAAAAATCAATTTCCATACTATGATATATATATACAATCAGATAAAAACATATGTGCACGACTGTATCTTATATCCCTTTGTACTCCATGCTTCGCATCGAGTTACCTGGTCAAAGTTGGCTCAGTCTAAGCAACTAGCCATTCATTGAATCTAATAAAAGTTTACCACGTGGTAAATCTTAATTAAACAAAGTCCCAACTGAACAATTTCAAAATAATTCGACAAGTCTTGCATTGTGAATTTAGGTAAAATCATATTTAAAATTTAATCTAGACAAAATACATCTCCAGACAAAAATATTTCATTCATACCACTATATATTTACTTGCATATTTAATAACCTACTTGGCAATTAATTGTTCAAAAAACAAATATACATTTATCAAATATAATATTTTTCAAACAATGTATCATTTCATCAAATTATACACTTTGAATCATAGAGCACCTTTTGTAACAAATTAGTAAATGTTACATTTTCTCCAAGCAAATCATAGTCTCTTGGACATGTGATTTCTCACTACTTTTTTTTATCAATACAATCTACACAACCATTTAATAATGTATACAGCATTAACTTTACAATTGAATTCAATAATTAACTCTAATTATAGAGCTAGAAGTTTAGGCTTAATTCATACTTATTATCAAATTAAGGTTGGGATCCATCTTAACCCTCCCAAAGGTTCTTTCTAAAATCTTCTTACACTTCTAGACTTTAAATAAATTCTTAAACCACTCCCTACATCAATATTCCATCACCACATATTTACAAATTTGTCCAAAAATAAAAAATCATCCTCAAGTATTAAATCACCATTCCAACACCTTAGGAAAATGTATTTATGCTCAAATAAACAACTAGGCATCATAAAACATTTCAATAATTTGGATGAATCCTTAGACTCAACCTCAAAAGTTAAGGGTTTCACCTAAAATTCTTAAATTTGCATTCCAACCTCAAATAAATGTTCTATGACATTTATCACACTCCCAACAATCTTAATAGACATAATAAATTATCACATGTTCAAATTATCTATCGCATAGGAAAACCTTAATATGAAAATCATTCAAAATCAAAAAGAAAACTAGATAGAATGGGAGATTATATGACTAGGAATTTACCTCAAGTGGTTGCACAACTCAAGAACCGCCTTAGGTTGCTAGAAAATCATGCCCTAATAGCACCATCTCAAAGCTCTTCCTAAACTCTCTCCCTCCCTTTTGTTTCTATTCAATAAAATTCACCAAGGACGGCTTCTAAAAGCCCAATTTAATTGTGATTGTGGCACTTACACACTCATTTGTTTGTGGATGATCTTCAAGTAGAACATTAGTCTACTTGTGGTCAAGCACCATGTTGTGCTCATCTACATGCAATCAAGATTTAGTTGGCCCAAACATACTTTTTTGAGCCATAATTTAGCTTAATTACTTATTTTGGATTTTATTTAGTTTCTTAATACATACTTTCAAGCCCAAGTAGAGTCCTAATTAATTGCCTAAACACTCAATTAATTTCAATTCATCTCGAATATACATTTATCTCCCTAATAAATCCTCTAATTGTATTAATATCCATTTCAATTCTTCCATTAAAATCTCAATTCTATAATTTATTTTTTATTTAAAAATTAGGATCTTATACAAGAAGGGTTTATATCCATTCTTTTGTTTTTTGTTTTTTCAACTATTCTAATCAACCTTTCTCTACGGGAAAGTCCACGTACATGCAACCACACACCCATACTACACGCAAGCACTCAAGTGCGTGCGTGCGTGCATCCAATAATATTCCCTCTAGTTATTTGGGAATCGAATTCACCATCTTTATTTTACTGAATCAACTAGTTCTTGGCAGGTCTATTTCCATTCAACAAGCCAAGGGGGTTGGTAGAAAATCATATTATATTTCTTGGCTGTAAGAAGAAAAAAATTATAGTGGAGTTTGATTATCCCCATTCCATATTTTATTTGGCCCGTCCAATGATTAAATTTTAGATTTGAATACAGATCACAAACAAACATCCACTCCATCTAGCTATTATAGTAATCACTGTCTACAATTTTTTTTTTCCAAAAAAATAATCAGTCAAAGCGTATGAAGCAAGGAAGGAGAAATCATCAAGAATCCATCACTGCATTACAAATCAAAAGTCTTGCTCCTTCTAATTCAAAACCATCAACTTCAAGTACTTCCTCTTGATCCCAAGAGACACTTCTCCTAGAGCAAATATTGGTGGAATTTTATATTTTCTCTAGTTAGAACCAGGAGTAAAAGCTCATAATTTTATGCTTTGGTTAGTTACTAAAAAGGATAGGGACGAAACACATTGAAAAAAAATTAAAATAACAATGAATTAAATCACTTCTCATTCTCATGATAACACGATAAAAATCAATAATATAGATCATAAATATAAGAGTTATTACACTCTTTAAAAATTTTATAAATAATAATTTTTAATTTTATGAATTAAATTACTCTTTTTTTATAAATATAGTTTACATATTTTTTTCACATTTTGATCATCTTATTTTTATATTTAGTTTTTTAATTTATTTTTTTTTCTAACGATCAAACAAGACTTCAGGCTTGAAAACATTAATCATCCGTCAAACTCACGAAGACTTTGGGTTGCGATAAACTTATCAAAACTTAAATGTACTTGTGAAAATTAAACTAATGAATTGTGAATGTTTTTAGTAAACTCTGATTCAAGGCGAGTCCAAAAGGCTAGCTAGTAGCAGTAAGCAAATTATGCCAACAAGTTCATACTGGAAATTTATTTCATATATTTTTGAAATCCCAATAATGTTAAAATTGAATTAATCAGTAAATAAATTAATGAAGCTATCAAATACTCCCTTCATTCAAAAATATAAGACATTTTTTAAGGAGTTGAATGTTAAAAAATGTAAAGCATTTTTAATCTTTTGAGGTATAATTATTGTATTTTTTTCAAAAGTGTCTCTATTAATAATGACTTTATATTTATTATAAGGTATTTAATAGAGATAAATTTAAAAAAATAGGATTAATTTGAAAGTAAGTAATTATTTTATTAAAAGAAAAGATTTAATTAAAAATATTTTATATTTTTAAATGAAAAGAATAAATAATAGTACGCAATGACTAAAACAATTTCTTGGTCAACTATAAAAAAAACTGATTAATTGCCCAACTAAATTGTAAAAACACTGTTTGTTCCTACCAAAAGATTACGTTTAATTTCAGTGCTCATCGTTGTTGGATGGTCTAGACTTACAAGTTTTATTTTTTATTTATTAAAATTCAAAATAAAAATTTTGATAAATTTATTTTTTATCAATCTAGGTAATATATATTTGATTTGAATGGTCAAATTTAATATTAATTTTTTTAAATTTTTATAAATTGATTATTCAAATTGTCAAAATCAAATCAGCATTGTATTAAATTTAAAAAATTAATATTAAATTAAATTATTTAAATTAAATTTGTATTGTTTAGATTAATGATAAGATAGATTTATTAAAATTTTATAATTTTTTATAATAAATATAAAATGTAAAATAAAAAAATAAAAATAAAAATTTGGTTATTTGAAATTTTGAATGGTTCATACGCTCAACAGTCAACAATCGATGAGGACGATGGCGCTCACCACGAACGCCGAGCTGTTTTTTTTTTTTCCCCATTTCTAATGAATACTACTACCTTAATGATACATAACAGCCATTAACATCAACATTAGCATTAATATTAACATTAATTAATAACATTAAACCCGCTAATGAACAATTGGCGGGTTTTTGTCGTATCGTCGCATCACCTATACCCACTCGCGCGCTTTACAAGCAGGTAGCATCTTCGCCAAGAAGCAAAGCACTTAATTTCAATTCCGACTTCGTTTCTTCGTCCGCTCTCTCTCTCTCTCTCGCACTCTCTCACTCTCACTCACTCCGCCTGGTCGCTTCTCACAGTCACAGTACCGTTGTTGTGGTTTACGCTGTTTCTGATGAATTTTACATCGCTGCGATGCTCACGCCTCTGATATTCGCTAACCGAATTCCATTTCAGCTCAAATAAATACCTGTACACATGACAGGTGCGAGCTTGTCTCCATTCCCCTTTTCTTTGACTCGAAGTTTCGTCCCGCTTGGTCCCTGATACTGATGAGAATTGCGAGCTGCCACTCCGCCGTTTTCGCCGATATTCACCCACGCCGTTTACACAATGCAAAACCCCAATTCCGGTGGCGATCAAGACCATCAAACCCATTTCAAGTCACCAACATCGAAGCGCAATACCCATAGGAGACGACCTGTATTCAAAGTCCAACCAGGGCAGATCGCCTTTCGCCTTGTTTGCCACACCTCCGTTGTTGGCGGTTTGATCGGCAATTCCGGCACCATCGTTTCCCAGCTCCGGCGTGAAACTTCCTGTAAAATACATTGCATGGACCCGATTTCCTCTACGGATGATCGGGTCATTCTCGTAATCGGCTCGGTTTCGCCACGTAAAGTTATCAAATTGGTCGGAATTGCGGGCGACGATGATGGCTGTGAAACAGAACTTGAGGTTTCGAATGCTCAAGAAGCTATTCTTAGGGTTTTTGAGAGGGTATGTGAATTGGAGGCAGGGAAAGGTTCTGTTGGTGTTAGCAAGGCTGTGAATGAGGAGGTATGGTGTAAGCTGCTGGCACACACATCTCAGATTGGTGCGGTTGTGGGGAAAGGGGGGAAACACATAACGACGATGAGAAATAATAGCGGCGCTAAAATAAGGATTTTGCCTCCTCCACAATGTGCGGCTATAAACGAGGAAATGATTCAAGTGAGTTTATTTGTTTTTTTATTTATGAAATTTGAAAAGGAAACGAATAGGTCGAGCTTCTGATAGTGCATATATCAACACGGAGAAAAAGCTTTAAATTTGTATTTTTTTCTTCAGATGCGTGTGCTTATGCTTAGGTACTCCATGATCCTCTCCATTTTGTATTATATGCCTCAGTATTCCGTCCTTCATAAATTTTTATGAACTCTTGTTGTGATAGATCGGAGAAAAGTTTGACGTTGGTATATGCAACATTTTTAAAAGCTAAATTTGATTCAAGCTTGTTGGCAAGTGAAGATTTTGAAATAAAAAGAAAGACTAAGTATTAAGTTTTGAGAACTTTCTGTGTAGATTGAATTTCACATGTCCCCTTTAGGAACATTAGAAATAGTGCCAGTGATTGGCGGAAAATGACTATAGAAAATTTTCCCCATTTGGGATATTTCTCATTTGGCAGATAACTGGTAGAACTTTGGCTGTAAAGAAGGCACTAATTGCTGTGTCACACTGTCTTCAAGATTGTCCACCCCTAGACAAAGCGCCAACATCTTCCAGGATGCTGACTAGTAGCCCTCCCGATAGGGCACCCAATGATCTAGAGGCTGAAAATTTTCCTCACCTTAATTCATGGTTACTTCCCGTGCAAGGGAAATCACAGTATGACGCATTGGATCAAACAGCAAACACTAATGGAGAGTCTCGACCTGGTCCAAAAGATAAAGAACTCGAAGTTGTATTCCGACTACTCTGCTCTAATAGAATAGCTGGAAGTATAATTGGCAAAAAAGGGGCCATAGTAAGAGCACTTGAAAGCAGAACAGGTGCTTCCATTATCTTTGCACCTCCTTTAAGCAAGTTTGCTGATCGCATTGTCACCATTTCTGCTGTAGAGGTTAGTTATATAAGAAAGACAATAATGGTTTTGTGCTCACAGTATTTCTAGAGGATCTATTATGCATGCGTTTACAGATTTACATACAAATTCACTTTGACTGCTGTGATCTCTATTCTTGATTACTGATATGAATTTTTATTTTTTTAATCTAGAATCTTGAATCTAGTAACTCTCCTGCACAAGAGGCTGTTATTCTTGTCTTTGCTAGAATGATTGAAGATCATATTGGAAAGGGATTTCTCTCAGTTGCTACTATGAAATCACCTGTAACTGTGAGGCTTTTAATTGCGCCATGCATGGTTACTTGCTTGAATGGCAATGAGGGTCAGGTAATTTCAGAATTGAGAGAATTAACTGGTGCAGAGATACAAATAATGCAAGGAGAGGAGGTTTCATGTGTTGCTTTGGATAATGACATGGTTGTAGAGGTACAATTACTTATCCAATTCACATTGCTATGCTTGCAAATGATGATATGGTTATCAAGCGCAAGTTGAGGTCCAGTGCTTGATTTCTTACAGAGAGGGATAAGATAAGGGTAATTGGGAAAAGAAGGGTTTTCCATGAGAGGGAAAATGGAAACTGCTAGGTGTGAGTTCATGATGAATAGATAATTGTGTTGACAAATTATATATTAAACCATCTAACCAGGAAAGAAAATGGACGCTATAATCTCAAAAACATATGCAGATGTTTCAAATAATTAAACAAAATGATCTTAGATTATTGTGCAAAATAAGTAAAAGCTTACGTATAATTAAGACCAAATGTGTATAAAGTGTGTATCAAGGAATCCTTATGAATATGCTTATATATCTAACATATAGTGACTTTCCATTCCTGTTTTATCAGTTTTTTGATTGGTGTATATCTGCGTCTTTCCTTTCAGGGTAGGTTTGACCTTATTCGGTAACCCATATGTTATTTTTTGTGCTTGTTTAACTACTGAGGCATCCAGGAAATGCTGAATTTCTTATTATGACCACAACAATCTTTTGTTGCTGTCTCCTACTGAAGTTTATGCTGAATTTTATACAGATTACTGGTGAGTACAGATGTGTAAAAAATGCGCTATATAAAGTAACTGGTATAATTAGAGATGATCTTTTTGCCAAAGGGAAACCGTCTTCTCCATCAGGGACGTTGCTGCCACAGGTTTTCTCTACCTCCTTTGTAGTTACTCTCAAATCCAAATTCCATTATTTCATTACCACTTTTCGTTGTCCCTCCAAGGCTATAAGACCAGAATGTTTAGCAGTATTATTATTTGATGCAGAATGCAAAGGCTGGGTCAATCTCAAAGAATGGGAAAACCCGCATGCATTCATATGACGATTTGGAATTTGGGAGGTCAGTAGAATGCAAACAGAGTGCACATGTGATCCTGTCCTTTTTCTTTTATCTAAGTGAAGCTGAGCATTTGAGATTTTGCTCATCTCCACTATGTTATCACTTTGCTTTTTGCTTAAATATTGCTACGGAGAGCTTGCTTTCTAAGTGACTCTGATATTGGAGTCAATATCGTGAAGTATGTAACTAGGGACGAGTTTGAAGGTTGTCAGCAATAATTTTCCTTAGAAATGGAATGATGGTGACTACATGATAAATAAAGTGGTTCATATTTTAAAGTGAAATAAGAAAAGTAATTTTGAAATAGCTTAAATTAAAAATTGGATCAGTACTTTTTTATCCCAAACTAATTGATGCTAAGCTCAACTTACCCTGATTTTCTGCATAATTTTTAATTCATTCAAATTTGTTTACCTGCTACGAAATAAACAAATATATTTATTTGATGATGCAGCCGCAAGCTTCTGATTTTGTACCCTTTGAACTTTTTCTTGATGAAATATTTTAGCAGAGGGAACGAACTTGCTACTGTAACAAATACTACAGTGGAGATTGCGGTTTCTGAACATGTTTTTGGCTCTGTTTATGGTGAAGATGGTGGTAATGTAGATCGAATTAGACAGGTACTTGATTAGTCCCAATGATATTTAATTGTTTTTTTATGTTAATGTGTGGTTTAGTTATGCTGTCCTCTGATTAAGTGCTGTTAGGTTTTACATTGAAAACCAAGACCTTTTTCCCCCAAAATCATGGTTTTGGTGGTTTTTAAGGTGAAGGCAAATTGGTCAAAAAAAAAAAAAAAGGTGAAGGCAAACATGTATTAACTGTTGTAATTTGGTCAATTTGATAATTGAAGAAAATGTGATATTTATTAATGTGAATTGGATAATAAAGAAGAGGAATCTTTCAAGTGAGAGAGGGAATTAAAACTTGCATGCCATTATGTTGCATGTAACTAGTGCTATTTCAGAGAAGCTTGGTCTCATGTGTGCTATTGTTACAATGTTTGGTAGATATTCACTGAGCTATTCAAACTAGTTATCATCTCATCAAATTAGTTGTTTAATAAGGATTTACATAATCAAATATCTTGTCTTATCACGTAATGCGTCCTAATTTAAATTTAGAAAGTTGTTATCATACTTATTTATATGCATCCACCAACATCAATAAAACATACTATTTTCCCTCTATATCTCCTTGCTCTTGTTTTGCAGTTATAATATAAATATATAATCTTTGCTGCTATAGAACGTTAAGCTTCTGAATCATTTGAGGCTAGATACCAGGGACTCCTTAAAGGCTTGAACTTCTTAAGATTATTCTTTAGAAAATAAGAAATAGTAGGGCGGTGAACTCCAAATTATCTATAAAACTGTTCTTACAAAGATATTTGTCCCAAAAAAGAAAATAAAAAAAAAAGAAACGCCCATGCCATTAATTATTTCTTTGACCATGCAAATTCCGGATTGTGGTTTATTTAATAACGAAAGTTTTACGAATACTATCATCATTTGATATTGCTATGTCCATACTTTTATTAGAAAAGAGCTCACGTTGAAAAATTAAGGCCACGATATACAAGGACTTCAGCGGCATTATGGAACAATGCAAGCTGGAATCCCCTGACTTTGCTTCAGCAAGAAATATCGGTCAACCTAAGAACCATATGATAATCAAATATTTGACTTGGAAAGTTGAAAGTGCATGCATATACATAGATATGTACCTTGAACATATTCATGTTTTGGTTCAACCACATCCTTAAAATGTCCCTTTTACGGTTAACCAGTTGCTCCATTTTTTTCTTTTTCTACGAGTGGGACCAGATTTCTGGTGCAAATGTTACAGTCTATGATCCTTGTGCTTGTGAAAGTGGAGGAAAGGTCGTCATATCTGGGACACCTGATCAAACCTTTGCAGCACAGAGCTTGCTTCAAGCCTTTATCCAAGCCGGAGAAAGAACGCCGAGGAGTTAGCCTTTCCCTCTCGGAGCAGCTCATGGAAGATAAGGCTGCTAGTTGATCATCAGTTCTAGGGTTTCAGGGTTGTAGGTGACACAAGTAGCGTGTGTTTTTAATTATATCACACCAATACCTTGTTGAGTACCGAATTATTCAGTATTTCTGACATAGATATTGCTCTGTTGTAAAGTGTCACTCTGCTAAATAGTTTTGTCACTCTGCTAAATAGTTTTGGTTTAACTTTTCCCCCTTCTCTTTTAAAGTTATACAAGAAAGATAAGGATAAAGATTGATGGTTATTTTATGAGGTTTATTGTTCATTACACGTTCTAATTCTTTTGTGCTGTGTCTACGATTTTGATGAGTTCCTTCACAGATTTGGTAAGATCTAAGTGGGATGCCTTATCTGGCCAAAAAAAGAACAATAAAAAAAAAAAGATGGGATGCCTTAAATATCGGCGTATTTTTTATTATTATTAATTCGTTCATTTGTCGAGAGAAATACGAACGAATCTGAAAAAGCTGTCAAGTTTAAAGATTACACTCAGCTATATCAATTATTCAGTTCATTTAAATTATATTGATAATTTGAATTTTCTCTACTTTCTCTAATGAAATCAATTCTGCATACAGTACATATAAAACTATTTAATCATATTTATTTTAGCATAAAATCGTAATTTTTTATATTAAGATTAGAATTGCTAAATGCTATTGGAATTTGTATGGAGTTTTTAGCTTTCGATTAGAATCCGTCCAGCTTATTATTACAATGCTTACTTCTCAATCTTAATTGTAAGGTACAATTAATTATTATTACTACCACTACTACTGCAACCTTCGTTAAAATCATGTAGAAAAGGTAGTTAAATAATTAAAATAGTCTAGCCTAAAAATAAAATAACTTCTCGCTACCTAGCCCACCGTCATCTTTGTGACCGTGGTTCGCCGCCTGGAAACTTGTGCGTGTTCGACCTCCGTCAGATGCTTTTCTTCCATATGCTGTGTTAATTACTTAATTTTTCCTGTTTTACCAAATCTTGTTTCAAATTCGGATTGGGAACTGTCAATATATGGTCTACGGGCTCAATGTTTATAAGCCTAATAGTCCATTAACTCTGAGAAACGGAGCCTAACGCATGCACGTAGGAGCTTCAAGTGATTTTTGACATTCCTTTTCCTGTGGAGGACAGAAAGTGATGCCATAACTTGGAAGCCTTGCATCTGTTAAGACTGCCAGATTCATCATATGTAAAACCATGTCACAGAATTGAGAGCGGACGAAGTTACGGAAAAAAAATATGGCAATTCCCTTCTCAAGTCAATGGGCGTGAACTTGATATCTACAGATTTTCATTTAGTGATATGCATACTCCATCGTAGACCTCAGGGCTTCAAATGGTCAATATGGACTAAGGAGCCGGTACATGTATGCTTAATACTCCATGATGCTCTGATATTTTCTTTTGTTATTTAGTTTTCCTTTCAAATGGTCGATTTTTTTCCCTGTACTTGAAAAAAAAAAATCATTTTTTCTTAGCAGTTGATGGGAAAGAAGCTACTCTATTTTCTGTACGAATGAGTTTGAACTTGATACTTCGAGCAGGTGGGGCAGGAGGAACATCGAAACAACTTATTAGTCTCTTTTATCCTTCAACGTTTCATATTGCTCATCACTGTTTTAACGCCTTCTTGAACACTAATTCTCCCAGTATCACTGAGGCCACAGAGTTCTATTCTTCTCTGATTGGACATTGCAGAGACACAAAATCTTTAAGAGGCATCAGCGGTGTTCAGACCCACATTATTAAATCCGGTGTTTCATACCTATCCTTAGGCAATAAGCTCATTGATGGCTACATTAAGTGCAACGGGCTTTCTGAAGCACGCAGGCTGTTCGATGAATTGCCTAGCCGACATATAGTAATATGGAATTTAATGATTTCTTCTCATGTTAGCCATGGTAGGAGTAAAGAAGCCCTTAAGTTATTTGTGAGAATGCTGGTCGATGGAGTTTTACCTGATGAGTTCACTTTTTCAAATATTTTCAAGGTATTTCCAGATTTAGTTCTTCTGCGTGAAGGCCAGAGGGCTCACGGGTTATCGGTGGTATTGGGTTTTGAAATTTTTAATGGATTTGTTGCTAGTGCTCTAGTTGATATGTATGCAAAGTTTGGTAAAATAAGGGATGCCCTTATGGTGTTTGGTCGTGTTTTGGAGAAGGATGTTGTCTTGTTTACGGCATTAATTGTTGGTTATGCGCAGCATGGCCATCATATCGAGGCTTTAGTAGCTTTCGAGGACATGGTCAATAAGGGAATTAAAGCTAATGAGTATACTCTTGCAAGTATCTTGATAAGTTGTGGTAGTCTGGGGAGTTTAGTTAAAGGTAAGTTGATTCACAGCCTCGTCATTAAGTCTGGTCTTGAATCTGCAGTTGCTTCACAGACATCACTCCTTACTATGTATTCAAGGTGCAGCATGGTTGATGATGCCATGAACGTTTTTAATCGGGTGCCGAATGCAAACCAGGTGACATGGACCTCTCTGATAGTGGGTCTTGTGCAAAATGGGCGAGAAGAGGTCGCTTTATCATTATTTAAAGAAATGATTTGTTGTTCGATAAATCCAAATTCATTCACATTGTCTAGTGTTCTTCAGGCTTGTTCAAGCCTTGCACTGCTTGAGGTAGGGAAACAGATTCATGCCCTAACCATGAAGAAAGGATTCTATGATGATAAGTATGTTGGTGCTGCACTGATTAATATGTATGGAAAATGTGGAAGTACGGGCATGGCAAGGTCTGTTTTTGACACGTTAACTGAGGCAGATGTAGTGTCTATTAATTCAATGATATATGCTTATGCCCAGAATGGTTTTGGACGTGAGGCACTTCAGCTACACGAAAGGATGAAATATTTGGGACTTGAGCCAAATGATGTAACATTTTTAAGCATTCTCTTGGCATGCAACAATGCGGGATTAGTCGGAGAAGGTTGCCAAATATTTGCCTCCTTCAAGGAAAACCAGAAAATTGAGTTAACAAGAGATCACTACACCGTTATGGTTGATTTGCTGGGACGATGTAGGAGATTCAAAGAGGCTGCAATGTTAATAGAGGAAGTGAGAAATCCAGACGTGGTCCTATGGAGGACATTACTAAGTGCATGTAGGAATCACGGGGAGGTGGAGATGGCGGAGAGAGTTATGAGAAAAGTACTTGAGCTTGCTCCTGGGGATGAGGGTACTCATATCCTCCTGTCAAATCTTTATGCTTCAGCGGGAAAATGGAACCAGGTTATTCAGATGAAAAGCACAATAAGGGACTTAAAAGTGAAGAAAAATCCTGCAATTAGTTGGGTTGATGTTGACAGAGAGGTTCATTCTTTTATGGCTGGAGATTTGTCTCACCCAAGAGCTCATGAAATTTGTGAAACGTTGCTTGAATTAAATGAGAAGGTTAAAATTCTGGGTTACAATCCTGATACAAAATTTGTGCTGCAGGATATAGAAGAAGAGAAGAAGATAAGTTCTTTATATTATCATAGTGAAAAACTAGCCATAGCTTTTAGTTTGTGGAAGACTAATGGTAGGACTAGTAGTATCAGGATATTTAAGAATCTTAGAGTTTGTGGCGACTGTCACAGTTGGATAAAATTTGTTTCTTTACTAACTGGGAGAGAGATTATTGCCAGAGATGCCAAGAGGTTTCATCATTTTAAAGGAGGGATTTGTTCCTGTGGAGATTATTGGTGAATTACATTTGTTATATCTCTGTTTCCCTTCAGATTCCCATTTATTTTCGTTTTTTTTTTTTTGGAAGTCCTGAGTCTGGTACTTAATGGATTGCAAATTCAATCTATTTTTATCAGAAAAGCGTGGAATGAACTTAATCTGATTCCTTCGTATGTTCCGTTCTAAATTTTAAGAGACGAAGATTTGTTATAAGCATCCCTTCTTTTTGGTCAATTTTGATTATGCTTAGTAAATGCTAGCCTATAAAGTGAAAAAAAAAACATGTAGATGCATATGCTTTCTTTTATAATCAATTTGAAAACTGTATGAGATATTGGAATTGGAATTGGAATTTGATATATTGCGGGTCACCTAGGTTTATGATTTTTACCCTTTCTTGTGGATTAGCAAGACAACCTCACACACATTTAAATTTTAAGCCAACTTTTGGTAGAATTAGTTTCATTAAGCAATGCAATCATTAAAGACGTGAATGGACTTCTCCCTGGAGGATATAAGCTTGTACTGGTTGAACTTGTCCCTGCAGACTTGGCAGAGAAATGATAAGAGAACTGAGTTGTGAATTCTCTTGATTCTAACTGTAATTGAAGTGTATTTTTTTTTAAATGACTATATTAATGGCAAGTTTTGTTAATCAAAAGTCAGTATCCTTCAATATTTGTTTCAATATTGATGATAAAATCACTGCAATATGAATAAAACTTGACATCAAGACAAGGACTGACATGTCGCAAATTTCAGATGACGATGAAATATTTTTGCATTCTTGCTTGTTATTAGAGAATAGCCTACTGTTGCTTGATTTGCCATCATAATTTTGATGACCTATCCCATGTAATGTATATTGGTCTCTTAATTTGTAATTGCATGCATTCAATTAATGTAAAAAAAGTACGATACCAGTTCTTTAGTTACATGTTATAGGGGCATTAAGATGTGGGTTCAAGGAATGTTAATTCAGATCAGAGGTACTCTTAAAAATGGCTCGCTAAGGCAGCTTTTTGCAGGTTCCACTCTGCACAGCCAGGTGAAGTCTTAAGGATTGAAGTTTGAGGATGGGAATTTTGTTCCATCTGTGATTTTACTTGAACAGAAGAGCTTCTTTTGGCCTCTCCATAAGAGACAAGACTGTTGCAGCAATATGCTCTGATGATAGCCCTGCTTCTTCAATCTGATCTTTGGGTGATCCGTGGTCGATGTATCTATCAGGAAGCATCATTGACCTCCACTGCGGGCAAAGCACAAATGAAAATGAGAACAGGAAGAATGTGGGAGATGAAGGAATGGCAACTTTGAATGAAAACCATTGAAGAGATAGCCCATCCACGTATGGGAGGATTTACCTTTAAAGGTCCATCCAAGATACCAGCTAAGCTTAGGAATTGTGACACGTGAGATCCAAAACCTCCAATAGATCCTTCTTCCACCGTGATGAGAATTTCATGCTCCTTAGCTAGTAGCTTAATGAGATCAGTATCCAACGGTTTGCAGAACCTAGCATCAGCAACAGTCACAGAAACGTCTTCTCTTTGGAGCATTTTTGTGGCTTGCAGGCATTGTTGAACTATAGAACCGTATCCTAAAATAGCAACCCTGCTTCCTTCTAGTAGAATCCTGCCTTTCCCAATCTGCATACCCGTGAGTGTTTGGATTTGATTACTTATCCAATATTCTTTTGAGAAAAATGTTAGCTACTTAGTTTTGCTAACCTTAAGTGGGGTTCCCTTGTTATTGGGGGGCAAAGCGACTCCAATTCCATTGCCCCTTGGGAATCTAAAGCAGCTTGGTCTGTCATCTATGGTTGCTGCTGTTGCAACCATGTGCATCAGTTCAGCTTCATCAGATGGAGCCATGACCACCATATTGGGCAAGCAAGCCATGTATGTGATGTCAAATGCTCCGCAATGGGTTGGTCCATCTGCACCAACCAAACCAGCTCTGTCCATAGCAAAGCGGACAGGTAGTTTCTGAAGATCTACATCGTGGACTACCTTCATTTCCATTATAAATGACAGCTGTGAGATTATTTGATGATAGTTTACAAACATTAAACCAGCACATGAAAAAGAAATATTTCAGTGCTGCCTGTTTCTTTCTACTGTTGTTATCTCACCTGATCATAGCCACGTTGCAGGAATGATGAATAGATAGCACAGAATGGCTTGAGACCTTCCGTGGCTAACCCTGCTGCAAATGTAACAGCATGCTGTTCAGCTATCCCCACATCAAAGCAGCGTTCTGGAAACCTTTTCTGGAAATAATTTAGACCAGTTCCCCCACCCATGGCTGCGTGAATGGCTACTATCTTATTGTCTATTTCAGCTTCCTTTATCAAGGATTCAGCAAAGTATTGGGTATATGAAAGTGTTGAGGACTTTGGCTTAAACTGTTGGCCAGTTTTTGGGTCAAACTTGACAACACCTGAAAGTAGGAGAAATATGAACTACAACAATAACCATCAATCTCAATTCACAACTCTCTGACGTACAGATACCAATCTCACCATGCATTTTATCATCTGCTGCCTCTGCTGGGGGGTATCCTTTCCCTTTCTCTGTCACAACGTGAATCAAAACAGGACCTGGCGCAGGCATCGCTTTCACTTTTTGAAAAATGCTGACTAGATCTTCAATGTTATGGCCATCCACGGGACCAATGTAATATAAGCCGAGCTCCTCAAAAAGTGTAGACCCAGATGCGCTGATCATTCCTCTTGCATACTCATCTACTTTTGATGCAAGTTCATGTGTTTGCCCCCCTATATGCTTTGTGATGCTCTGTAACAAATAAGAGTGCGGTGCCACATGACATTGAAATTTGACATAAGCGCCGAAATTATGAAGGTGTCTTGCATAAAAAGAGTTTTGAATACTTACCTTTGCAGCTTCTCTGAGTTTTCGGAATTGGGTGCTTGCTTGAATTTTGCTTAAAGCACTGCTTAGTGCTCCAACTGGAGTTGCAGGGCCGTCAAGTGTGGCAGTTGGTAAAGAGACCTGCTTGTTATCATTCAGTATAACTATCATGTTAGCGTCAAGAAATCCTGCGTTGTTCATGGCCTCATAAGCTTGACCAGCAGTCATTGCTCCATCTCCGATCACTGAGATGACGCTGTTGTTCTTTCCCAGCAGATCCCTCCCAACCGCCATGCCTGCAAATTTTTGTAGCCAAATAGAAAGCGTGAGCATTGAGAATGGTTCAATCTTTTTTTTTTTTTTTGGTTCCATGAAACGCTTTGATTTTAATATGAGAATCTCACCAAGACCGGCGGATATGCTTGTGGAACTGTGCCCTGCCCCAAAAGCATCATGAACACTTTCATTCCTTTTAGGGAACCCCGCTAGCCCAGAAGTTTTCCTGATAGTGTGCATCCTGGACCTTCGACCTGTGAGAATCTTGTGTGGATATGCCTGCAATTTATTTCTGCTTAGATCCAAAAGGAGAAGAATAAACCCTTTTTTCCCCTTTCCCCAAGAGCTAATTTCTGTACACAATTGAACTTCAAATTCTATTCAAAAGCAAGAGAAAAAGAAGACTGACCTGGTGACCAACATCCCATATTATCTTATCTTCTGGAGTGTTGAAAACATGATGCAGGGCCACCGCTAACTCCACCGCCCCTAAGCTTGAACTAAGGTGCCCACCAGTATCTGATATAGTGTGAACAATATCTGCTCTTACCTCTGCTGCTAGTTGTTCAAGATTCTGCCATATATCATCCACGGAATCATAAGATAAATCAACAAAAAATGAAGATCATTGTGAATGAGATTCACAGTTGTTGAATATAATATAGTCTTCACCTGTGCCGATAGATCCTTCATATGGACAGGGTAATTGATTGTATCCAGCAATGGCGTTGCTGGCTTCTCGCCTGAATAATTGATCTTCCACCCATCATTAGTCTTCCTTATGCTCGTCCTTTCCCCATCTTCTGAACCACTAGTTGAAGCTCTCACTCGGAACTGTCATGTAGAATCACATATAATCAACAGCAACCGTCATTACGCCGTCAGTGAAACATCAAGGTAAGAGGAACCCATGATTAGAAGCAAAACGGAGAATAAGAGAGAAGGAAGATGGAGACAGTGAGATGATTACCTGTTTTCTGCAAGCATGGTCTGAAGTTGGAACCTGATGCCATGGAAAGAGACAGCACCGGTCAGGCTTAAGGAAAGTTACGGAAAATGCCATTGCCTTTTCAAAGGTGTGAGAGAAATGGGGAAGATGGCTGTAAATAGGAAGAGAGCAGACAACCGCCTGTGTTTATATGATGTGCAGCACACAGCACAGAGCAGAGCTACCCACGTCGATTGGATATATATATATATATTGGGTACAGCACGTCAATTGAATTATGAATATTTAAATAGTAAAGCTGAGAAGATCTGAAAGATCAATGCAGACGAAAACGGTATCACATTCAACACAATTTAGTGCATTTTACATGAAAATCTCTGTGTGTCTATTATAGTTCATGGTCAATCGTTGTTATATTTTAATGAGCAAACCATTCCTTTGAATTTTAGATTCATTAGTATTATAAATATTGAAATCATTTATTATGTAAATTGTTATCTCAACTTTCAAAAATGATATAATTTGACACCTATTATTAATAAAAGCTAATTTTAATTGTTGATTAATAAGAAAATGATAGAAAAGGACTTAAAAATTATACTTTCTTCATTTAAAAATGTAAGATATTTTTAACTGAATTTTACTCTTAAAAAAGTAATTACATGTCGTTAAACTAATATTATCTTTTCATATTTATTCTTATTTAATAAGTTGTTTTACTTTAAAATAAATATAAAGAGATTTTTTTCATTAGGGGTACTTTTAAAAAATATGTAATGTGTAACATCCTGATTTTTATATAATAAAGAAATTGTGGAATTTAGGTTTTGAGAAAAAAAATGATAATAATAGGAATTTATATTATTTTAGGTTATTTAGAAATGATATTATGGTTAGGTATTTAATTATAAATTTAAAAATTTAAATTTAAAATCACATAAGCAATATTTAGTTAAGATATAATACATAAATAATTTTTTATTGTGTGTTAAAAAAAAGAGAAGATAGAAGGAACAAAAAAAAAGGGGGTGGAAGGTTGTTGTTTCTAAGTCCCACATTGGTTAGATGAGGGAAGAGAAGAGGTGCCTTCATGTATAAAAAGGAGGGGGTGTGTGCATTAGGAAGTATGAGAGGCTAAGATGTAATTTAGAGGAAATTGTAACTTTTGGCCCAAAGGTTTGAATAATTAAATTTGAACCTATAGTTTTTTTTAATATAATTTTGGGACCACAATCCCATTTTTATATTATTTTTCTCTCTTCCTCTCACGTTGCTCGGCGTTTTTCTCGCAAGGGGGGATCATTTTCTTTTTCTTCAGGTATGTTCTAACTTTCCTGTTTAGATTAGCATTTAAAAATTTATTTAATTACAAAATTAATTTTATAGTTATTTTCTAAATAATATTAGCTTTCTAGTGATATGATTATTTTATAGGATAGAGTAAATATTCTGATTAGGATTTTTTTTTCTATAGGATAGTTAATATGATGATATGATGGACTAAAAATATAGGTTAAAACTCTTAGGGATATAATAAATATTATAGAATATTTTCTTGAGGTTGAAACTCATGTTTAAGAATTTTTAAGTTAAAATCTAGATCTATATGGTTGAATTTATGTGGAATCTGAGATGTAGGGATAAATCTATGATTATTAAATATTTATTTAAGTATGAATAGGTATTTTTGAGGTTATAGAAAGGTGATTTGAGGCTTCAGGATAATTTTAAAATTTTTAATTTATTTTTGGACGAATTTTTAGAATATAGAAGGATGAAATTGTGATATTAGGAGTGATTTGAGGATAAAAAAAATAGTTTATTAGGGTACGAGAATTTTAGAAAAAGAATTTGGGAAGTTAAATGAGGCATAAATCTTAAATTAGTATTAATATGGATTATAGATCTAAAACTTTCTAATTCTTTAAATTAGAGATATTTATTTTAATGTAAAATTAATATATAGTATTGTGAAATAATTATGTAGATTATATTGACAAAGATAGTGGTGAAAAAGGAGTTGTGAAGGGGAACTTGTTATTCAAGACACAAGGTAACCATTATTAATGTGTTGTGATGAGTGTGTTTGTGAATGGTTATGTGTTGTTTTGTTGTTTGGAAAAATTATGAATTATTAAAAATAAATACTGTATATACTTGTTTGAAATTATTGCCAAGTGGGTTAAAAATTTATTTTTGTTTATCATGATGAGATATTATTGTTCGGATATATTCCTGTTTGGATATTTGAATGATGCATGACTTGTCAGGGTATTTTAATGTATGGTGTTAATGGAAGTTTCTGTTCGGTTAATTATTACCACGTGGTAAGCCCTCATTGAACCCAATGAGTGGCGTGTCGCTTGGTCCAACTCACCTTTGGCCGGGTGATTTGGCGTCCGAGCATGGTGAAAGGAGGATATAAGGTGCAGTCATGCAATTAAATACTTGTTCGGTTTGTTTGAAAATATTGTTCGGTTAAATGTTTTGTGTGCCCACTTAGCAATCGCATGATTAGTTACATCCGCATGCATCATTACATATTAATTTTTGGTTACTGGGACTTTTAAGTCTCATTCCCCGTGGTTAATATTTTTATAGGAGCGAATCCGGCCGAGAAAGCACCAGAGGTGTAATTATGGTGTATGAGACACCATCTTTTACGTTGCCTCTTATTTTGAATTATACAATGTATCTTGTGCCAACTTAGGACATATCTTGTCTATGAAGCATGTAAACTCTAATCCTTTTTATTAAATGCATTTATATGTCCAAGAGGATTATGTCTGTCCCTTTTGATTCATGACCTAATTTGAATAACATGCTATGAGGATCATGTCTGTCCCTCATGGTTCTAATTGCTTTTTGAGATATTTTAAGACCTGTGGTATATTGTCTTGGATGTATCATGGTAGAAATTTTTCTACCATGATAAGGGTATGATAAGGGTTCAATGAAAAAAAATAATTTGTTGAATTAATAATTTGCGAAAAATCGGTTTGTAAATTTGTGGGTGTTACATAATGATTATATTTTAAAATACTAAAAATATTTTATATTTTTTAACATCAAATTTTTAAAAATTATTTTATATTTTTGAATGAAGGGAGTAGAAAAGGACTAAATTATTATTTTCTGATCAACTAATTATCAAGATTAATTTTGTTGATGGAAAATGTCAAATTGCATCATTTTCAAAAGTTGAAAAAAAAATTGGCATAATAAATAAGTTCATAATTTATGATATTACTGGACTTAAAGTTTATAGGATAATTTATTCAATTATCCTATTTCAATATTCAGTATTCAATATAACTTGACAAAATATAGCATTTAGAAGAAGTGATATAATATTCATGAGTTATGATGAATAGGGTGATTCTTATTGAATTATGTCTTTTTTTTAATTCTTTTAATCCTTATACATTTTGTTGGGTTTTATGCAATTCTTTCTCAATTCTTCATTTTTTACACATTTTAATAATATTTAAATTCAAAACAAAATAGTAACATTATTGACAAAAAAATCTTAAGCTTGGTGCTGAGAAATAGCTAAAAAAAAAAAAATTCAATCACACTATTTTATGTGAAGAGTAGAAATTTATATTGTTTAAAGGCATGAAATTGAGCTTAAATTATTCAAAACTGTAAAGTTTGCTAACAACCAGCTGGTTCTTATTGTGATAATGAGTAATATTCATGTTTTCAATGGGATACAAATATATAAATGTATACTGCTTTAGCACTTTTGGACGTGAAAGAAAGAACATAATTGTTCTTTATAACTTTTAGGTTTAGTTAATACGTTGTGTATGGTCCTCTTTATCTTTGTACAATTATTCTTTGTACTCTGTATTTTAAAGTAGTAACAAATCTGAATAATATATATATATATATATATGGATTAAAAATCCATATTTCCATAAATATTTCTTTGTATTTAACACTTCTCTGCCGCCATATTTTAATAGAAAATATCTTAAGAAAATTCCTTAGCAAGCTGCCATAGCTTCCCTCAGTTATCGAACATTATTATTATTTTTTTCATCAGAACCGAACGATATTATTAAATAAATAGCAGCGTTTCAAATTAAAAAGATGTAAGCATCGCTAATATTCGTGTAAATGGATGATTTTAGTTAATGGAAGGCTTCGGGTGAATGAAGCTATCTTCTGCCCAGCAAAATGATATATTCTATGAGAGACACTTGATTTATCTTTTGAGAAGAGTGTTATTAGAGGTTATTTAATATTTTAATTTCAATTGCGATAATTATTTCAAATTGATAAATTTTTATAAAATATGCTTAATTGAGTTAAATTGTAATTTCTGTTTGGGCCTAAATTGTTATTTGTCTTAGCCATTTAAAATTGAGGGCGACATTTTACATATTATGAATGAAAATATTACATAAGAACAGGAATTCAAGGATTAATCCTAATATGAAAAGATTTTAAATAAGCCTAGAATTTTTTTATACAAAAAGTTTAATTAAGTTAAGTCCTTGGAGCTCATTGAGGCCATAAGTCATGCATTTAAGCTTAAAAAGCACTTACAAAAATACTGATCACCTGCCAACAAAGTCTTCATATAAAAAAATAGAACTTAATCCCACAACCTCATGCATTAATTACGAGCCAAATCCTTGTAAATTAGACCCACCTTTATTAGTAAATAAGACTAGAATTTGAAAAACTAAGTATATGTTCAAAACTGGACCTTAATTATAATAAGATTAGCGAAAATATATGGTTATATGTATATATAAGCGATGAGTGTTTTATGTAAATTTTTTTTATATAAATCACAGTCTTTGATTGGATGTTGTATTTAAGATTTGTTGTTTCCCTTATGGACATGAAGACTCAATTGTTATTTTTTCTTTACATATCATCTCCTTACTCTTCATATGTTGGGGCAAACAAAGAACGAAAAGTTAGAAAGAGGCATGCGTGAAACGTGATTATATCTCTCTTGGAAAAAGAAGCAAAAAGAAAAATATTCAATGGTAGAAAGTGAATAATGAAACAAGTTTAATGAGTTCAGTACTCTATTCTGCCTTCTAATTTATTATTTTTTATTCGTTGGATTCAGTTTTTCAACATTAAGATGGTCCAAGATATTATAATTATAAAGAAGGCATTAAAACAAGTAACACATGGTTTTGACTTTGAGCATTGAATCTTGAGATTAAA